TATAGCAATCATTGTTTCTGACCTTGGCAAACATTGGAACAAAAGCTTGACGTTCCAGAAATTTAGTAGGTTTCTATCTCAAAATCATATTCATATAAAGCACCATCTTCTGACCTTCGATATACTAGGAAGAGTAGTCGTATCACAGAGGCACGAGCAAATTCAAACCGTATTACAGAGGCAATAGCAAATCTTTATCAACAAGAGAATTAGGACAATCTCGTGCGACCAACCAGTTGAAATTCAAGCAAGAAGACTAATTGAACACATCACATATTCGTGTAAGACTTAACACAATCAATATTTCTAAACAAACAGATTCAAACCCATAAGCACTTAAACACGGAGGTGGAACAGAATCCTAGTAACGAAAGGAATTAAATCTACAAAAATCAAGTGAGATAGGGAAGACAGAAATAAACCTGTTAAACTGAAATTCTTTTAATCAACAGTGGAAAAAAAACTCGGCAAACATACACTCCTTCGATCCCAAAAATCTGAAGAGAAACAACGACAAAATCGAATAAAAGAGCCGCGACCAAGACCATGAACCGACCTCTGATGGCTGCTTCAATCTGAGCTTTGACAGGGAACCTCAAACAAACCTCGAATCTCGCCGGAAAAATTCGAACCTTGCTGGCGAACTCGGACACTACTCGAACCAGAGAACATCATTGGTCGCTCATGGTGATTATTTGGTGGACTGTTTGTTTTTGTGCTACTTTTGGGGAATATTTTGTGGTGGGCTTCCGGTTGTGATGTGAAGGAGACGAAGACGGGGGGTGGGGTGGTCGATTGCGGTGCCTGCAGCTTCTTGTGTGTATTTTTGTTTTCAGCCAGTCAGCCTCTTTCTTCATTCTTTTCTCTTAGGCTTTTTTTTTATTTTTTTATTTTTTTTATTTATTTTATTTTTTATATTGTAGGTTTTTTGGTAGGGTTTTTAGGTTAAGGAGCATAAGCCTAGGAATTATGAGCTTGTTAATTGTGGGCTAGGTCCAAAATTAGACCTAAAAATGGGTTGCTCGAGCCCAAGTTCTATTCTTTCGCTGCGAACGAGATTAAAAATACGGGCTCATTTATTAATTATTACTACTATTCAAATAACTATTAAAATAAAACTAACCATTAAAACAAATCTATTTTTGGTATTTTCAAATATCATATTAAAATAAAAATACGATACTATTGTTATATATATATTTTTTTAAGATTAAAAATGACTACAAAACATTAATGAACCTATTTTTTGTAATTTTATTTTCTTGTAATAAAATAAAGTAAAAGAGCCAAGATTACTTAAAATATCTATATTATGCCTAAATTAAATATTTACGCGCTAAAATATGAAAAATCTTGGGGAGGGTCAAAAATCACATATCTACATACCCAGTTTGTAGATATTTTGTAGATAAATTGTAGATTATTTGTATTCTGATTGCAAATGTTTTGTTTTCTATTTTTACAAATCAAAAACGAATAAAACTTCTACAAATCTTCTGCAAAAAATGCAATTATGTCGAAAATTCCATTTATGAGATTGGACGAATCTTTATGATTTAAGAAGAATAAATATTGAAATAACACATGGAGCTAAGTTAAAGTTTGTGACAACTTGTACATATAATGTGCAAAAATCTCCAACACAAAAGAAGAGTGTCCAGCTAGTGGAAGCCTGGGAACAACAGATTTTGCAGATCTGAATGAATTTAACTAAAACATCCTTCAACTCCAACCGAAAGAATTGCGTTCTGGATATTCTACACAACTGAAACGTAAAGCAATGCTCATTCTGGAAACCCAGGAATCAATTTCTGAACTGATAAGCTACATAGATTTCAAAGAACCGAACGCCTAGTGAACAGTTCTAATTTTAGTATTAACAGACCATGTTACAACCTCATCTTTTTATGGAATTTCCTGATAAACAAATCAGCCACATTATCGATCTCGTCTTCTAGTACGTAATTCTGTCCTTCTTCCTCTTTGAAATTCCTCACCATATTTATTGCTGATGCATTTGGATCACCTAAATATTCATCCTCTTCATCGAATAACGAATGTGTCAAATCCGGATACTTATCATCATAATCATCATACTTTTCGCCGTTGCTCAATACTTTATGTTTAATAACAGTACATAAACGTGGGTGAGGGTGAGGAGGATGAATTTCATTGATGAACTTCAATTGGAGTAAAATGGGGACCCAACTTTGTTGAAGGGTTTCTTCAATTTTCTGTGAATTTAGAGGGAGAATTTGGTTACAGTAGATGGAAAATGGTAAAAAGAACGTGGGTATGAGTAAAACGTGGGTGGGGATGAGGGGTTAGGAGAGAGAAACGTGGGATGAGTGGGGATACTGGGATATACAGATTCCTTTAATTAAGGAGTAAACAATGTACAATTAATTATACCCTTAATTAATTATGGTATAGAATTGATAATTTGGTATACTAAGTGTAATTAAGTCAAACCTTAAACATTGAAGGTAATAAAGTTTCCTATGTGGCATAAGAATGTAAAAATTCCTTTTCTTTCCAAATACTCATTAAATTTTTGACTTTCTGACAACCTTGACGACGTTAATAACTAGAAGAAGAAAGAAAATTCTATGTTATGTTACAATCAGTATAGTTCTGATACCTGACTTAATAACTGAAACTACCATGAATATTAGTGGTGGCCATCGGTCGGTTCGGTTAGGTTATGAACACTATCGGTTTAGCATATCGGTTATCGGTTTATAAATTTGATAAACCGATAATCGAACCAATAAGATATCAGTTATCAGGTATCGGTTAATCGGGTAAAAATAGCACGGTATAGCCAGTTTTCGGATTAGTCATTCAAAAATAGCCAACGTTTACCAAGTCAATGAAAAATAACCACTTTTTTGCTGCAACAGAGACCGGTCCAGCATAATATACTGGAGTTCAGTGCACCTATGTATGAACTCCAGCATATTATGCTGGACCGGTATACTTTGCTGGCTCTAGTATAATATACTGGAGACTGGAGCATCGGTGCTCCAAACTTCAGTATATTATGCTGGACCGGTGTACTTGCTGGAACTACACTATATTATGCTGGAGTTCTAGTGTACTTATACTGGAACTCCATCATATTATTCTGGAGTTCCAGCATACTTATCCTAGAACTCCAGTATAATATGCTGGAGTTCAAGTATACTTATGCTGGAACTCCAGCATAATATACTGGCATATTTTCTGGATTTTGAACAGTGTTTTCGCTCAGATTTATCTTTACATGAAAAGTGGTTAAATTTTGATTACTTTTGAAACTGGGCTATTTTTGAACGACCAGTTGTAAATCTGGCTATTTTTGAATTTCTCTCGTTAATCGGTTATTGATCATTATCGGTTCGGTTATCGGTTTACCCAATAAGATAACTCAATAAATAACTTGCAACCCAAGCTGGATATTATTGTCTAATAATAACCTTTTTTCCCTTCCTTACCGCTTCTGAAGGAATTATTTCCTTGATCAAGGTGATAAATGTGCCTCATAAGTTTTTTCTCCGCACCTCATCAACCAAAATTTTCATTTCTTTTGAATATATTCGACAAATTGTTTAATAACCCCCTTTTTGCCTTCCTTGCATCTTCTGAAGTAAGTATTTCCTTATCATATCATGTTCTAATGATACGAGATTTAAATAATAAAAGCAAAAAGAATTTAGGAGAAACATAAATAAAAGCTTTTAGCAAATGCGATGCCATTACTGCTGAACATAACCTATTGAAATCCAAACATTACATAGGAAAATGTTCGCTCTTTAAATGGAGCAATCGTTAAGGCTCTGAAAGTGTAGTTAACCTAAGAATAGAGAAATCTGCAGCCTGAACTAGAAAATCCTAATGTATAAGACTAAAGATTTACACTAGGAGTAACTAGTAAGGTCTATGAAGAATGAAGATGAAGTAGTTGAAGAGTGAAGAATGATGATGAAGTAGTTGAAGAGTGAAGACTGAAGATAAAGTAATTGAAGAGTGAAGGATGCGACTGAAAAAGAATAGGAAAGAATAAAGTGAAGCCCTAACATATGTATATACTTAAGGGTAAAGTAGTAATTTTATTAATTCTTGTTGGGTTATCGGTTAACTCATTAACAAAATTGGAAAACCAAGACCCGAACCGATAACCCAATAATGAAAAAATTCTAATCCGTTACCGAACCGTTAACCCAAAAACCCAATACCGATAACCCAATAAATAATTAACGGTCCGAATTATCAGTTTTACCTGATATATGCCCAACCCTAGTGAATATGCAACTACTCTCTCCTTTCAAAAAGAATATTGTAAATGATTCTCCCAAATCAATTGTTTGATGGATGTTAGTCAGAGAATACCATACGTGTTGAAAGTTAAATATTTTTTTAGGATAGCACAAAGTTATAAACGAGCAATTCATATGGTACCATCCAAGTTGCTCTCCTAATTCTATATTTCAAAATTTTATTAGTAGTATTTTAAATCTTACATGTCTCTCTTCTCAATCTTATTTTGTTCTTCGTCAAATTCAGTTGCTTCCTTGCTCCATTCTGTTGAAGAGTTAAACAAACAAGCTGATAATTAACTGTAGTTAACTATTATTGTAATCACTAACTAGATTGGTTAGTTAGTTAGTAAGGTAGTTAGTTGGTAGTTAGAAGAAGATATAAATATCTTCTTAGCTTAGCTTAAATGTACATCAATTCATTTTTTCTCATTTTCAATGGAACAATGTTCTCTTCCTTCTCTTCTTTACTGTTTCAACTCATCTTCTATCTGAGCTTTAGATCTGCTGTCCATGGTAGCTAACATAGTATCAGAGCCACTGACAATGATCTAAGCTATCACCGTCTCTCAATTCTCTCTTCTGATCTCTATTCTCTGCTTCTAGGTTACTTCAATTTTGCAAATTAGGTGCAGAATTGTCTTAGAGTAATCATAAAATCGAAGCTGGGGTTTGTATTTTTCATTCAAGGTGAAGTCTACAATGGCGATTGGCACTGAAGAAGATAATACAACAGCTCGTACATCAGCTACTAACACTTTTGGGAACTCTGCTCTAGCTGGTTCTGGTTCGTCATTTCTTTTTATCGATCACAATCACCCACTGTACCTACAACCAACTGACATACCAAGTAGTTCTCTAGTCTCTATTCAATTGACTGGATCTGATAACTATGCCTTGTGGAGTTGTGCTATGAGAATTGGTCTACTAGGTAAAAGTAAGTTAGGTTTTGTTGATGGAAAGTTTCCAAAGTCTAAATTTGAACCAGAACTTCATGATCTGTGGGAAAAGGTTAATGCTGTTGTGTTGTTATGGATAATGAATGCTGTGAGACCTGGTTTGTTGAGTAGTGTGTTATATGAATCTAGTGCTCATAAGGTGTGGGGAGATCTAAAAGAAAGGTTCGACAAAGTGAATGACTCTAGAGTATTGTTCCTTCATAAAGAAATGCACAATTTGACGCAAGGAACTATGACTGTAGCAGATTACTTCTCAAAACTGAGAGATTTATGGGATGGGTTTGATGCTCTAATGCCTTGCTCAGGGTGTCCATGTCCTGAGTCCAAGCTATATGCTCAGCACTTTGAGGCTCACAGACTGCTGCAGTTTCTTACTGGCTTGAATGATTCCTATGCACAGTCTAAAAGTCAAATTATGATGATGACTCCAGTGCCTACTATTAACAAGGTTTATTCACTCCTTGCTGATCAAGAGAGTCAAAGAAATCTGGCAAGCATGGCCTAGGTTACATAGCTTGCAGAAGGTCTAGAGAGCACTGCCCTGTATGGGAACAAAGGTCCAAATGTCACCAGTGAAGGTTATAGACAAAGAAAGAATAATGTTCAGTGTAATTACTGTCATTACAAAGGGCATACCAAAGAAAATTGCTTCAAGCTAATAGGCTACCCACCAGATTTTAAGTCTAAAAGAAAAGGAAGTGCACCTGGACTTTATGCTAATTTTACAGGTAATCCAAGTTTTGCAGCAGAGGAAGAGCACATCAGATATGAAACTCAACTGAACACTGGACCTCATCATCAAAAGGGATTCACTTCAGCTAATCCTATAACACCACAAATGACACAAACACAACCATTTTTTACTCAGGAGCAATACCAACAGATTGTTCTAATGCTTTCACAAGAAAGTGCAGAAGGTTCTGGCTCATCTAGCAAAATAGTTGCTGCAGGTATTCTAACTCATGTGAATGCATTTGTGTCTCAGTGTATCAATAGTGATTGGATAATTGACACTGGAGCCTCAAATCATATGACATCTAGATTTGAGTTACTCTTAGTAGTAACTCAAACACATAAGTCACTTCCTACAACAAAGAAAAATATAGTTCATCTTCCTAATGGTAATGCAATGCTAATCTCACACATATGTAGTACATCTGTGTTGGACAATCAGAAGATTTATAATGTGCTCTACATTCCAGACTTTAAGTTCAATTTACTCTTAGTTTCACAACTCACCAGGGAACTAAAGTGTATGGTAGGCTTCTTTCCTGACTTTTGTATTTTTCAGAATCTTTACAGTGGTCAAGTGAAAGAGATTGGTAGAGAGGAACATGGACTTTATGTGCTTAAAGGAGGTGTTTCAGAATAATTTTTAGTTCAAATGACAAATAAGAGTGCATCTGCAGTTACTGCTCCCTCTCTTGCAGGCTCAAACTGCTTGTGACACAGGAGATTGGGACATACTCCCTTAGATGTAATAAGAAGAGTATACAAGTTAAATAAGTTGACTACTAGTGACAGTCAACACTGTACTGTATGTCCACTAGCCAAGCAAAGTAAACTTCCTTTTCAACTTAGCAGTACTGCAACTAAATCCATGTTTGAACTGGTTCATTGCAACATTTGGGGACCATACAGATGTCCTACTCATGATGAAAAAAGATTCTTTGTTACTATAGTAGATGACTATAGTAGATATACTTGGATATTTCTTTTAACCTCTAAGTCTGAAGCTTATGTTGTTCTAAAGAATTTTCTTGTTCAGGTTCAAAATATATTCTCTACCACAGTTAAGGTTTTGAGAACTGACCATGGAATTGGGTTTTTCAGTACTGATTTCAAAAACTTATTGTCTAGTCTTGGTATTGTGCATGAAAGCTCATGTGTGTATACACCCCAACAAAATGGAGTGGTAGAAAGGAAACATAGAACTATTCTTAATATGGCAAGGGCACTGAGATTCCAAGCTTCCGTTCCTTTAAGTTTTAGGGTGAGTGTGTTACTACTGTTGCTTACATACTGAATAGACTTCCTTCCAAAGTAATTGACTAAAAATCACCATTTGAGATGCTTTATTTGCATTCTCCTTCTCTGTCTCACTTAAGAGTCTTTGGTTGCCTGTGTTATGCTGCAACTCCTAGAGTACTAGACAAGTTCTCACCCAAAGCTGTTCCTGCTGTGCTTATGGGGTACTCTTCAACACAAAAGGGTTATCTTCTGTATGAATTACACTTAAAAACATTTCTAGTAAGCAGAAATGTCATATTCAAGGAAGATGTTTTCCCCTTCAAACATATGAAGTTATATGGCAATTTTGTATTTCCTGTGTTGGATTTACTCTCCCCAGTGATTCATGAAAGCATTACAGTTGGTACTGCTGCACTAGATCCTTTGCCATCACCTTCCTTGAATTCAGAGGCTAACCATTTCTTAGATGTTGAACTACAACAAACATCTAATCTGGAGGAGCATATACAACAACTTGACAATTTTGAGCCAAATTCTGCCCTTGATGTTCCTTCATCTCATGCTGAAGTTCCTGCTCCTGATGCAGTCAGTGATGAACCTTCCATAGGCTGTAGAATATCTTCCAGACCAAGAAAGCCTCCCATTTGGCTACAGGACTTTGTAACAAAAACTAAAGGTACTAAGTGCAACTTCCCTATCTCTGCACATGTGAACTACAATCATCTCTTCCCCGTTTACAGACATGCAGTCTCAGTTTACTCAGCAGTTTCAGAACCATCCAACTTTAAGGAGGCTGCATCTGATCCTAAGTGGATAAAAGCTATGAAACTTGAGCTACATGCTTGGAAGATAACAATACTTGGTCTGTTGTAGACCTACCTCCTGGAAGACACCTATTGGTTGTAGGTAGGTGTTCAGGATCAAGTATAAGGCTATAGGTGAAATTGAGAGATTCAAGGCTCGCCTGGTAGCTACGGGGTATAGTAAAAAAGAGGGCCTAGACTATGGAGAAACTTTCTCACCAGTGGCCAAGATGGTCACTATGAGATCTGTTGTTGCTGTTGCTGCCTCAAAACAATGGTACATTTATCAAATGGATGTACATAATGCATTTTTTAATGGTGGCTTAGATGAAGAGGTATATATGGTGTTGCTTGAGGGGTTTTATAGACAGGAGGAGTCTCAGAAGGTCTGCAAACTTCAAAAATTCTTGTATGGCCTCAAGCAAGCATCCAGACAGTGGAATCTGAAGCTTACAGAAGCACTAGTACATATGGGATTTCAACAGAGTCACTATGATTACTCACTATTTGTTAGGAGAGTTGGGGATGATATTGTGATCATACTTGTATATGTAAATGATCTCTTAATTACTGGTAGCAATCACAAGCTTCTATGTGACACAAGGCTAGATCTTCAAAGCAGGTTCAAAATGAAGGATCTGGGAGAACTAAAGTTCTTTCTAGGTATTGAATTTGCAAGGTCTAACAAGGGGATTCTAATGAGTAAGAGGAAATATTCTTCGGAGCTGATCTCTGAAACAAGTCTCAGTGGAGCAAAGCCAATTAGTACACCTATGGAGCTCAACCAAAAGCTGACTACTGTAGAATATGATCTATCCTTCAGAAAAGGAAATGCTACCGCTGATGAAGTGCTAAGAGATCCGGGTGTCTATCAAAGACTAGTTGGAAAATTACTATACCTAACTATGACCAGACTTGACATCTCCTTTGTAGTACAGGTCTTAAGTCAATTTATGCATTGTCCTAGAATTTCCCATATGGAGGCAGCATCAAGAGTAGTGAGGTATATAAAGCAAGCACCTGGTCTTGGACTGCTTATGCCTGCAGAAGACACTAAGAATCTGACTGCTTACTGTGACTCTAATTGGGGAGCTTTTGTGGAAACAAGAAGATCAGTAACTGGCTATTTGGTAAAGTTTGGAAATGCCTAGTATCTTTGAAGTCCAAGAAGCAAAGCACTGTCTCCAGAAGCTTAGCTGAAGCAGAATTCAGGAGTATGGCCTCTTGTGCAGCAGAGGTTACTTGGTTAATAGGGTTATATGCAAAACTATGAGTCAAAGTCTGTTTGCCTGTGAAGTTTAGGGCTGTTCATTCGGATCGGATATCCGAAATTCGAACCGATCCATTCAATTTCGGATTGGATCTGATTTCGGATTGTGTTTTTTAAAATGTTGGATTTGGATTTCGGATCGGATTCAGATTGGTATATTTTAATCCGATCCGATCCGAAATCCGAAATTATTAGGGCATGTATATTACTACACTTTAATTTCAGATAGTCAGTACTTCTTTTACATCAACCTCCAAGTTATTACCTTTACAATTGCTAGATTTAGCTATATTGGCACCATAATACTCTCATAATTGCATAAACATGAATTTTTCTTAATGTATTGCTTCTTTTACAAAGAAAATATACATATTAGTTTAACTTTGAGGCATAATAATACGATCCAAAATCCAATCCAATCCAAACTTTAAAATCCAATCCAATCCGACATAATTCGAATCAGATTCAGATTGCATTTTCTAGAATCTAAAATCCGAAATTCAAATCCGAAATGTGCTAAGTTCGATCCGATCCGATTCGTGCACAACCCTAGTTAAGTTAGTATGTGACAGCAAGGCAACAATCCAAATTGCTGCAAATCCAATCTTTCATGAGAGAACAAAGCATATTGACATTGATTGTCATTTTGTAAGAGAAAAACTATGTGAAGGAATGCTAAAGACTGAATATGTACATACTGAATATCAATTGGCAGACCTACTAAGTAAGAGTCTTGGAAGAGCTCAACATGAGCATCTGTTATACAATTTTGGGTTGAAGAATGTGTATCAATCATCAGCTTGAGAGGGAGTGTTGAAGAGTTAAACAAACAAGCTGATAATTAACTGTAGTTAACTATTATTGTAATCACTAACTAGGTTGGTTAGTTAGTTAGTAAGGTAGTTAGTTGGTAGTTAGAAGAAGATATAAATATCTTCTTAGCTTAGCTTAAATGTACAACAGTTCATTTTTTCTCATTTTCAATGGAACAATATTCTCTTCCTTCTCTTCTTTACTGCTTCAACTCATCTTCTATCTGAGCTGCTGTCCATGGCAGCTAACACATTTGATGTGGCGAGATATCGAGAATAAATGTCAAATTATTTAATTTTTGGTGTGGATTCAAATATAGGATTTCCATATTCTTAAAACAAAATTTGTGAATTTTAAAAGCACGTATTAAACCAGAATAAAAAGAAACGTACAAAGTAATATAATTCACAAAAAGTTAATAATTTAAAAAATATGATCAACAAAAGATCTCGTTGAGTCTTCAAATAATAATAGTACTACTTAAAAAAGATGGATATTTTTTCACATAACTTATAGGGGCAGGAAATGTCCAATAAAACACCAAGATTTAGTGGCTCATTGAGCTGGGGAAATTTCAATCTTTAATACCAGCCACAACAGTTTGCAACAAATCTATGAGCTATTTATAATAAAAAATGTTATGATGAATATCACATTATGGTGGATGTCTACTCTTCTTCCATGATCTTTAGCTAAAATGCTTAATGACATATTCAATGACATAATTTGTATGTTCAATGACATATTCCATGACATATTTTCTTCACTTTTTATGCCTATATAAAGGCCTTGTAATAGATAGGAAAAATACACAATTGAAGAAGAAATAAGAATCTCTCTTCCTCTCTTTCTCTCTATATCTCTTAGTTTGTTTTTGCTTGTTCTATATTGTTATTTTGGGTTATATTTCATAACACGTTATCAGCACGAAGCTCTAATTTTATTCTTAACTCCAGCTAAGTTGAGCCATATTTTATTGAG